CAAAATGGACTTATTTTCAAGTAAAAAATTAATCAACTCGAAAATGGATTAATCAACTTCAAAATGAAACAATCAACTTCAAAATGGATTAATCAACTTCAAATTAATCCATTTTGAAGTTGATTAATCCATTTTGAAGTTGATTAATCCATTTTGGAGTTGATTAATTTTTTTACCTGAAAATAAGTCCATTTTGAAGTAGATTATTATCATTTTGAAGTTGAAAAGGTATAGAACAGTCTACCACAGTGAGCGGAACAAAGTGTTCAGTTCGACATTCCAAGTCTATATCCTTGAAAGCAGGATGTCCCTCAAAGTCCATATCCTTGAAGGCAGGATGTCCCTCAAAGTCCATATCCTTAAAGGCAGGATGTCCCTCAAAGTCTATATCCTTGAAGGCAGGATGTTCTTCAAAGTCCATATCCTTGAAGGCAGGATGTCCCTCAAAGTCCATATCCTTGACGCTTATTTAATTGATGTCCCTCAAAGTCCATATCCTTGAAGCAGATTTCCCTGCAGAATGTCCCTCTATATCCTTGAAGGCTCATTTCCCTCAAAGTCCATATCCATATCCTTGACGTCCCTTTGGTTTGGTTGCAGAATGTCCTTGAATGTCCATATCCTCCATTTTGAAGGCAGGATGTCCCTCAAAGTCCATATCCTTGACGCTCAGGATGTCCCTCAAAGTCCATATCCTTGACGCTCATTTCCCTCCCTCAAAGTCCATATCCTTGAAGGCAGAATGTCCCTTGACGCTCATTTGTCCATGTCCTTGAAGGCAGGATATCCTTGAAAGTCATTTATCCTTGCAGAGGATGTCCCTCAAAGTCCATATCCTTGAAGGCAGGATGTCCCTCAAAGTCCATATCCTTGAAGGCAGGATGTCCCTCAAAGTCCATATCCTTGAAGGCAGGATGTCCCTCAAAGTCCATATCCTTGAAGGCAGGATGTCCCTCAAAGTCCATATCCTTATCCTTTAGTTGCAGGATGTCCCTCAAAGTCCATATCCTTGACGCAGGATTCCCTGCAGAATGTCCCTCAAAGTCCATATCCCTGAAAGTCCATTCCTTGAAGCAGGATGTCCCTCAAAGTCCATATCCTTGACGCTCAGGATGTCCCTCAAAGTCCATATCCTTGACGCAGGATTTTGGTTCAAATGTCCATATCCATGAAGGCAGGATGTCCCTGCAAAGTCCATATCCTTGAAGGCAGGATGTCCCTCAAAAGTCTTGGCTTGCAGAATGTCCCTCAAAGTCCATATCGCTTTTGTTTGCAGGATGTCCCTCAAAGTCCATATCCTTGACGGATGTCCCTCATTTGGCAAGAATGTCCCTCAAAGTCCATATCCTTGACGCACATTTGGTTTGCATATCCCTCAAAGTCCAGGATGTCCCGCAAAGTCCATATCTGCAGGCAGTCCCTCAAAAGTCCTTATCCTCATTTGGCAGGATGTCCCTCAAAGTCCATATCCTTGAAGGCAGGATGTCCCAAAAGTCCATATATCCTTGAAGAATGTCCCTCAAAGTCCATATCCTTGACGCTCATTTGGATGTCCCTCAAAGTCCATATCCTTGACGCTCATTTGGGCAGGATGTCCCTCAAAGTCCATATCCTTGAAGGCAGGATGTCCCTCAAAAGTCCATTTGGCTTGAAGGCAGGATGTCCCTCAAAGTCCATATCCTTGAAGGCAGGATGTCCCTCAAAGTCCATATCCTTGAATGTCCCTCAAAGTCCATATCCTTGAAGGCAGGATGTCCCTCAAAGTCTATATCCTTGAAGGCAGGATGTCCAAAGTCCATATCCTTGACGCTCACCTTGAGGCTGCAGATGTCCCTCAAAGTCCATATCCTTGAAGGCAGGATTTCCCTGCAAGTCCATGTCCCTCAAAGTCCATATCCTTGAAGGCAGGATGCAGAATGTCCTCCTTGAAGTCCATATCCTTGAAGCTCATTTGAAGGCAGGATGTCCCTCAAAGTCCATATCCTTGAAGGCAGGATGTCCCTCAAAGTCCATATCCTTGACGCTCATTTGCAGGATGTCCCTCAAAGTCCATATCCTTGAAGCTCATTTGGATGTCCCTCAAAGTCCATATCCTTGACGGCAGGATGTCCCTCAAAATGTCCATATCCTCCAAGGCAGGATGTCCCTCAAAGTCCATATCCTTGAAGGCTCATTTGGTTGCCCCTCAAAGTCCATATCCTTGACGCCCTCATTTGGAGGCAATGTCCCTCAAAGTCCATATCCTTGAAGGCAGGATTTGGTCCTTGAAGGCAGGATGTCCCTCAAAGTCCATATCCTTGACGGCATTTGGATGTCCCTCAAAGTCCATATCCTTCAAAGTCCATGTCCTTGAAGCCATATTTGGCTTTGCAGAATGTCCCTCAAAGTCCATATCCTTGAATTTGGTTGCAGGATGTCCCTCAAAGTCCATATCCTTGAAGGCAGAATGTCCCTCAAAGTCCATATCCTTGACGCTCATTTGGTTGCAGAATGTCCCTCAAAGTCCATATCCCTCCCTGACGCATATCCTTTGGCTGCAGAATGTCCCTCAAAGTCCATATCCTTGACGCTCATTTGGTTGCAGAATGTCCCTCAAAGTCCTTGACGCTCATTTGGCTGCAGAATGTCCCTCAAAGTCCATATCCTTGACGCTCAATTGAAGGCAGAATGTCCCTCAAAGTCCATATCCTTGACGCTCATTTGGCAGAATGTCCCTCAAAGTCCATATCCTTGACGGCAGGATTTCAAAGTCCTATATCCTCAAAGGCCATGTCCCTTTGACGCTTTGAATGCAGGATGTCCCTCAAAGTCCATATCCTTGACGGCAGGATGCAGAATCCCTCAAAGTCCATATCCTTGAAGGCTTTGGATTTGAGAAAATCCCTCAAAATGTCCTTGAAAGTCCATCATTGATCCTTCATTTGGTTTGAAGGAATGTCCCTCAAAGTCCCCATCCTTGACGCTCAGGATGGCCCACAAAGCAGAATGTCCTTCAAAGTCCATATCCTTGACGCTCATTTGAAGCAGGATGTCCCTCAAAGTCCATATCCTTGACGCTCATTTGGTTGCAGGATGTCCCTCAAAGTCCATATCCTTGACGCTCAGGATATGCAGAATGTCCCTCAAAGTCCATATCCCTGAATGTCCGTATTTGGTTGCAGAATGTCCCTCAAAGTCCATATCCTTTAAGACAGGATGTCCCTCAAATTCCATATCCTTGAAGGCAGGATGTCTCTCAAATTCCATATCCTTGATGGCAGGATGTCCCTCAAAGTCTATATCCTTGAAGGCAGGATATCTTTCAAAGTCCATATCCTTGAAGGCAGGATATCCCTCAAAGTCTATATCCTTGAAGGCTTATCTAGATAAACGAAAAGAGACCATAGCTGCGAAATCAGAGGAGGAAGGTGGATTTTCAACAAGGATATACTGGAACTTGAACGCTGCTACCAAGGAACGTATGACGAAAATATGATGGGAGACTATATTTGCTGAAAGTAAATTACAGTATAAGCGTAAATCCTGAAAAAAAACTCACTTCTAAATTTGTGGGCTGTTGCGTAATCCTAAAATAAATAAATGGTGCTTTTGAATCATATGCCATTTTATTCCTACATCGTGTGAACGAGAATGTTCACATTTGCCAGTTTTCCCAATGGGAATAAGAAAATTCCGAAATATCGTCATCATGATCCCAAAAGCAAAGTTTGAAGAAAATATTAACCATTTTTCATACTTTGTACGCGTAAAGAAATAGGAAATGACAATTGCTACACAAAGAGAAAAATTCTGTTACAAAGTGTTATCGATTCATTTTCGTCAGTAATTTCTTTTTTTTAATCCATTCCAAGATTAAATATTTAATCTCTTAGTAAAATTGCTGCGCGATTTACTAATTTGGGTTAATCCGTTAGCAAATTCAAGCCCTATTTAATTAATCCTTTTTTTTTTTTTTGATTCTACTGCAAATTGTTGATTTTGCCATTCTATACTTTGCACTTAATTTGCTAACACTTGATCCACTTTTATATTTTGAAATTATGTTCTTAATCTTTACAGGAACTTATTTTCTCCCTTGCTTCTGCTGAACCAAAATATTGTACTTATTCTTTTTCCTGTTTCTTAATACTTTACTTAGCTTCTGAAAGGCGTCTTTCGCTATCCCAGTGTGCCTCTGAATTGCTACCCAAGGACAAAAATCGTTTTAAACAGTTTAATTTAAGTGAAAATCATTTAGGGGGTTCTAAAACGGCAAATGCCCGCTGGGCGTTATTGTACAAGGCCACTATGATTTTCTTTCTGTATCTGCCATCAAAACGTTGTCATCTGCGTATATTATGTTGTTCAGATTGTGTCCACCAACAATAAATCCTGGTAGAACATCTAGATCTATTAGAAACGCGTTGCTGTATAAATTAATTAGATCCGGTCTGAAGATGCATCCTTGTTTTACAACCATTTCTATTTTTTTGTTACACGCTCAATTCATTTTCTATCAGTATGCAGACGGTTTTTCCCCGCGTAAATATTCCATATTTTTGTGTTAGCTTTCCCAAATATATAAAGTTGTCCTGGCAGTTCAAATAAATCTTTGTGTTTTGTCGAATCAAATCATTTGGGTAGTTTATTAAACATGGCTTTACGTCCTTCTGTATTTGTATTGCTCGTTCTGATATTCTGGCAAGGAAGATTCTATTTCTTGTCGCCATGTCTTTACCTTAGATACATTGTTCTTATCTTATTTCCAGTTTAATTCTGATATGCCCACTGTTCACCGAAAATCCGGATAATAAGTTTAAGAGGGATTAGTTCACTTAATCAGTTACTAAATTTTTACGACAATGCAATCGGCAGTGTGTTGCTATTTCGGTGGAATTCAGCTCTGTCATAATAAGTATTAAAACGGATGGGTACACGTAATACAAAGCTATATAGTTCAACTGTCCTCCCACCTGTTTCTTCCCGCACGGGAAGCCATCTGGAAATATCGAATAAAACGCATGCGCACTGCAGGCTCGCAGTGAGAATGCCAATATCAGTGTCTTTACAATTTTCAGTTACTTAGCTTCCGTTAGCTGATTTAATTAATGACAATTTTTTTTATGAGGCATTTTTAAGAGTTTAAAGCAAACATTTTTTTCGGGATTGAACGAAGCGAATATATTTATATATATATATTGACATGAGACGATTTTGAAAAGCTTTCAGCAGATTGGATTTCATCAGAAGATACAATCTATCTATCTATCTATCTATCTATCTATCTATCACTGTCTGTTCATATTTAAGCCTATATCTATCTATCTATCTATCTATCTATCTATCTATCTATCTATCTATCATTGTTTGTTTATATCTAAGCCTATTCATATCTATCTATCTATCTATCTATCTATCTATCATTGTTTGTTTATATCTAAGCCTATTCATATCTATCTATCTATCTATCTATCTATCTATCTATCTATCTATCTATCATTGTCTGTTTATATCTAAGCCTATTTATATCTATCTATCTATCTATCTATCTATCTATCTATCTATCTATCCACGTTTATTATATTTTAATAATACAGTTATCGCAGATAAGACTCAATATTTCTCAACTCTTATATATCCTAAAGAAGACCCGAGTTTTATAGGCAACAGGATCACACCTAATTTTAATTTAAAATAAATTTAAAGAAACATAATTTCCAATTGAATCAATAACATGATCTGCCTTATCGTTTCTCGTAGATTCTCTGATCGACCCAACTTCCTTAATATTACGTCTCGATTAATTACTTCAACGGAGATCCGAGTTCCATCTCCAGTCGCGTTCGTTATATTCATTAAACTCGCGCAAATTGGGGAATATAGGAATTCACCTCTTCTCCCCCAGCTAGTGTTGTAGCATACTTACGGATGATAATAGGTATGTCCTCATTCACATAAATACAGTAGTAAATATTATATGTTAGTCCGCAGTTGGAGGTTCGTCTCCGGTTGTACTGGTCAAACTCGCAGCCTCCGAGGCTATGTCGAAGGACAGAGACTCGTCTCGGGAAACAGCTACCCGACCCCGTTTCATACGAGGTCTACGGGGAATTTTGGGCCGAGCCTACGAACTTGGATACCCACATTAAATTTGGCCTTATGTCACATCTGACTGCGTGGGGCCGATGGTAGATATCTTGCAGTTGGAGATTAGTCTCCAACTGTGCTGGTCAAACTCACTGCCTTCGGGCAGAGAGGGACCCCAGACGAGTATGTCGAAGGGCAGAGTCTCGTTTCGGGAAACAGCTATCCGACCTCGTTTTATACGGGGTTTACGAGGAACTTTTTGCCGAGCCTACGAGCTCGGGTAACTATCATTAAATTCGGCCTTGTGACACATCTGACCGCGTGGGTCGGATGGCAGATATCCTGCAGTTGGAGATTCGTCTACAGCTGTGCTGGTCAAACCCACTGCCTCTGGGCAAACGAGGCTATGTTGAAGGGCAGAGTCTCATCTTGGGAAACAGCTATCCGACCCCGTTTTATACGGAGTCTACGGAGAATTTTAGCGAGGCTACCGGATCGGATGCCACATATTAAATTTGGCCTTGTGCCACATCTGACCGCGTGGGGAGGTTGGTAGGTATCTGCAGTTGGAGATACACCGTGAAATTCACTTGACTCGCTTCCAGCAGTTAACTACTTTTTCTACGCACTGTTGGCGAATCTTATATGTGTTGTTCTTGTCCTAAGTATTATCGTTCATTATCAACCTTCGTTTGATTATTCTATTCAGGAAAACTCCCTAAATTGCAACAGTTATTAGCACTTGTATCTGTGAATCATTAATATCTTCAAAAATTTCTTATAATCTTGTTATATTCCGTACTAAGGGAATATAAATACTTAACACCAGGTGGATAATAGAAGAAAGGTTTACTGTACACAACAAGTACAATATGAAATACGGTACAGTTATACACACAGGTCAATCTAGTAGTGAGTGCCACTAATTCGTCTTCTCTCTCTCTCTCACTCTTAATATTTAACAGCGCCTCCACGAGGGATGTATGTGGCACAAGGTTGAGTTTACCGTAGTTTCTCCTCGGCCAAAAATATTCCCTTAGACTCTGCATAAGCGGATTCAAGGTCTATCTACCTCCGCGGACGAAACTTTGCCCTTAGGCAAAGCCTCGTTTGGGTTCCTCTCTGCTCAAGGCAAAGAGTTCGACAGTGAAGAACAGGAAAGAGAGCACTATTTTCTTTCTCGCTCTTCCTCGAGTCTCTCGTAGACAGTTGACTTTATAGGTACTTACTACCTATAGTGTAATCATTCATGGGGGGGGGTCTGGTTATTCCATTACATCAAATCTAAAAATATTTTATGGCTTTAAATAACCTGCAAAATGTTGATAAGTATTATTTTATTTTGTTCTTTTTTTTTTCCTTTTCTTATTGCGTATTAGAAACTTTGTCAGTTCCGTCTGTTGGGTATTTTCGCTAGGTACACTTAATCATGACTATTTATTCTACATTAATTATAAAAATAATATTTTCTCCAGACAAACAAAAAAAATCGAATTTTCCCCATTTCTAAGGCAGATGTCTACACGTGTGATCTTCTGCGGTCAATAAAATAAATCAGCTTAAGTTTTTTTTTCATTGTGCAGCCCTGGTTATAATGAATTATATCTCATGCGACCTACTGTTGGGAAAATGGTTGTCTGTGTAATATTGGAGCATCATGGGAAATTTCTCTGTTTACAAAAATTTCATTTTTGACAATCTCATGAGTCTTGAGTTTAGTTCTTCGGTGTCGGATGATCTGTAACCCAGCGAACACACGCCGGCAAGAAATAAAGTGCAATTACTTGATTTTTTGCCTTCGTGACGTCCGAATTTTAAAATTTCATGCTTAATAGTGAGTCGCTGTAAACAGACGAAGAACTTATGTAAAGTTCTCGTCTGAAAAAAGAAAAAAATATTAGGATGTTGTGTTAGCATCGCACAGATCATGAGTTCGAAAAAAGAAAAAAAGGAAAGAAAGAACAAACGAGAAGGAAAAGAGAAGGGAGGAAAAACAAAAAGAAAAACAAGAAAGAGGGAAAAATGAGAAAAAGAAAAGAAGAAAGAGAGAGAGAAAAAAGGAAAGGAGAAAGAATCATCAGAAAAATAAAATGATTTAGGTAAGGTAAAAAGAAAGAAGGAAGTGAGAAAGAGGGGCAAAAGAAAAGAAATTTAAAGGAAATGATGAAGAAGAAAAAAGGGAAACAATAAATATATTGAAGGGAGAAAAGAAAGAAAGAAAGAAAGAAAGAAAGAAAGAAAGAAAGAAAGAAATAAAGGATGTAGGAATGAAATAAAAGAAAGTAGGAATTTAGAAAGTGAATGAGAAATAGAAGAGATAGGGAAAAGAAAGAAAGAAAGACAGAAAGAAAGAAAGAGAATAACGAAAGAAAGAAAGAAAGAGAATAACGAAAGAAAGAAAGAAAGAAAGAAAGAATGGGAATAAAAAGTGAATGAGAAATAAATAAGAAATTCAGGAAATGATATAGACAAAAGAAAGAAAGAAAGAAAGAAAGAAAGAAAGAAAGAAAGAAAGAAAGAAATTCAGGAAATGAGATAGACAAAAGAAAGAAAGAAAGAAAGACACGGAATAAATATGCAATAGAAGACAAAGTAGAAAATAAAAACTGAAAAGAAGAGAAAAAGAAAAGAGAAAGAATGAAAGGGAAAGAAGTATTCTTTAAGAAAAGAAAACGGAATTAATCCAATATAGACACTGACTGAGAAGAATACAAGTAGCCATTCCTGGAAGCGATTATCTACACTCGTCTCTCAATTGACAGAAGAAGCGATAATTGTTGGCATCTCAAAGTCGGCCATCTTTAATAACATTCGTGAAAAAGCCAACGACTAAGCAGAAACATTGGTAATTCTTGGACGAAATAGCAGGCCATCAAGTAGCACAGATGCTAAACACATTAGAAATTTCATTTTCTTCTTGACGTGACTCGTACACTGTCCATCCTCACTGGGCACAGCACATTTCTGGCGTTGTGGGGACTAAAATACGCTTACATTGTTCGAAAGTAAATTGCATATATAAATGTTGTTTAAAATGGCCTGTTTTTATGGAGACGAGTGCTCATTATCGGGAACATTTGAATTTTTCAAGACATACACCTATGTCTTTCCGTCTGTCTGTCTGTCTGTCTGTCTGTCTCTCTATCTATCTATCTATCTATCTATCTATCTATCTTCGGTAAATGGAATCGAGTTCTCTCAGTCACTGTGTGTTTATCTAAAAATAAATACGTTTAAATTCAACTTCATCCCTGCTGTGCGCCAACGGCTTAGGGGTAGACTCCTCGACTGACGGATTTCGATCCTAGCTAGAGGCAAAAGACGTCTAGCCACACTGATGAGCTGTGATACAGCGAAACCATCTGTCTGTGGATGACAACATATATGCTCCTGAAAAATTTATTTCGGTTGAGCTCTCTGGGGGGAGGAAGTGTGGGTTTTTAAACAGTGACTATTACTGTTAATAATGCATGACTCTTCGGTAAATCGAATCGAGTTCTCTCAGTCACTGAGTTATATATATATATATATATATATATATATATATATATATATATATATATATATAAACTAGAATATATCACAGTCTCCAGACTTGAATCCAATATAAATTTGTATGTTTATTAAAAATTCAAGTCAATAAAAGAGCCCTGAAAAATATCCTGGACCTAAAGAGAATATGTAAAGAAGAATGGAACAAATTACTTGTGGTTTACGGTTTATATATATATATATATATATATATATATATATATATATATATATATATATATATATATATATATATATATATAATAAAAACCAACACTGAATAATATCAACTATGAACATGGACACAATATCTTGACCGTGTTTTGAAAAATGAAAACATTATATAAATACGTGCAACAAACTACTTCTTATTTAACAGTTAAAATATTTCAGACTTGAAAATGGGTACATGAATAGCCGAAAGCGCTAGGAAAAAAGAACATTCAAACAGTTTTTATATAATTTATCATCTGAAAAGAAAAAAATATAATAGATCGCATGAGAAATTGTGTAAACAATGAAATCAACGCACCTTGACTGTCGTATTTAATGAAATGTTCATGAAAGAAGGATTGCTGCCTAAACACACATACATACACACACACACACGCACAAATGTGTGCAAATATGTAAAAAATAGGAAAGAAGGTATATAAGAAGGTATATACTCGTTAGGTATATAATCCGAAATTCTTTAGTATTTTTGTTTTTATTTTTAAAAAAACAATACTCAATACAAAAGAAGAGCCTAAATTATAATTATTTTTTTAAAAATATGATTCCTTCGCTACATAAGAGTTCTCATGCTTCAAAACAAGAGCCGAAACTTCAATATAATTATTAAAATTAAATTGAATTAAAGCATCAAGTCAAATTAATTCTAATAATTATATTGAAGTTTTCAGCTCTTGTTTTTGAAACATGAGAACTTTTATGTAGAGTAGGAATGATTTTTTTAAATAATAATAATAATAATAATAATATATATATATATATATATATATATATATATATATATATATATATTTTAACTAACTGATTTAAAATATGGTTTCTTCGTTACACAGTAATAACCGTGTTTCAAAAACTGAAGCTAAAACTTCAAATTTAATTATATATATTTCAAAATTCGCTTAAAGATGAAACAGAACTAATGCTTTTAATTTAAGTATATAATTAAATTTGAAGTTTTTAGCTTCAGTTTTTGAAACATGGTTATTACTGTGTAGCGAAGAAACCATATTTTAAATCAGTTAATTTATAATATTTATGTTCCGTACATTTACAGTGAGCATTGTTTTGTAAAAATAAAAAATATCAATAAGAACACCTGATTATATATTTTACTGTTCTTTCTTTCTTTCTTTCTTTATATATATATATATATATATATATATATATATATATATGATACGCAAACTCTCAATGGAGTCTCTTACAGAGACGTTGGAGAAAAATGTATTCAAATTGTATATTAACTGGTAGACCCTTAACATATAAAGTATAAATATTATGATTCTGTCAGTTAATGTGGTATTGAGCTCTCTTTCTTCGGTGTGCTTCGATAGCAGACTCCCTAGGGATTGCTTATTTTATTGGAATTATATGCTGTTATAAGGGCAGGGACGTTGAGTGTCCATTATCGTTGAGTACAATTTTGCTTTTAGCATTTTGATCCTACTGTTTCCAATCGAACAGGGTTGTGAATTTTTCCTGGTTTTCTTCATTTTTCTTTTCCCAAATAATGGTAATTTTTCGCTATTTTTATCTTAGCCATACGAGCATTTCACTCCATCTTGGCGAATATAGTTGCGATGCGCATCGTACATTTTGCAACATCTTGAACTTGCCAAAGTAGCATGAAAAGCCCTTTTCTTTTTATGTGCCATGTCCTTCCAAAACGTAGGCGATCATGGCCCTCCACTTCCCCCTATTGCTTGTGGCTCTCAACAGGTTTTGTGTTTCTGCAAACACCCCCAGACCACGCACCGCCATCCACCTACCCAAGTCCGCCAGGTATTTCATGCGCGTCCTTCCCTTGTCTATTTTCCCCTCTGTTCGACCTGTGAGTATCAGATTCTCCAGGCCCTCCTTTCTCGTTACCTCTCCCAGAAATTTCATCTACCTCTTCCTTATGTTAAGCATAAGCTTCCTCCTTGTTTGCATCCTCCTCAAGACCTCATCGTTGCTCACATGCTCGGTCCATGATAACCTCAGCATCTGTAGAACGACATCTCCGCCGGCTCGTGTCTCTTCTTCATACTTGAGGATATCGTCCAACATTCATTGCCGTATAGAAGGACAGACGTCACGGAGTAGCTCAGTACTCTTTTCTTTGTTACCATAGAAATCCTCCTGTTTCGCAGTACTTTGACCAGCTTCTGGAATGAATGCTTGGCCATCCCAATCCGTCTTCGGATCTCAGCGTCGCACTTACCGTCCTCCGTCAAAACACTTGCCCAGATACGTAAACTTCCGCACATATTTGATTTTTGTCCCAAATAATAATGTTCACCGGGAATTTATTAGAAAAACACACACACACACACACACAGAATATATATATATATATATATTGTGTATATTTAGGCAGCAATTTTTCATTGATGCACGTTTCATTAAATAATATAGACAAGTTTTGTCTATTTTAAGTAAGTTCCTTTCATATTGTCTGGTAAGCTTAATAACATTATCATTGAAGGACGAAAGGAAATCACCATATTGATACATGTTTAAATCCAATCTAAGCTTCCGGCTTACATAAGCCATTATCAAAAATGACAATTACTTTTCAATATATCAACCAATACACGGAACAATAATAATAGTCTGCTTTTGTTGCATGAAAAATTTCAAAGCAACTACTAACTTGTGTATATATATATGATGTTAGTAACTATACTCGGCTGGTGTAAATACAAAAAACAAAAAAAAACGGGTAATACAATTTGCAAAGAAAAATATATTTAAAAATAGCTATGTGGGAAAAAAAATTGAGAAAAGAAAGAACTAAAAAATCCGAGTAGGCTGAAAATAATCATAATTTCTAGTTCAGAGAAAAAGACCCCAATCGAGTATATATATATATATATATATATATATATATATATTCCCGACTTCGAAGTTTCTTGGTAAAATTTCCAATCTTCAGGGGTTCCTGGTTTTTAAACTATATTTCCTTTTTTACAAAATGAAAATAATATTTTAATATTGAGCACTATACATAAAATATCTGCTGTTTTTTAATCTTATATATATATATGGCGTCACACATTATGAAATGGAGAAAATCCGACAATTATTTTAAGACATTTTATGTTTATACATTCTATAGAAATTATAAATACAAATATTTAAATAAATGCTCTGTTTATAATAAACAGTATTAAACAACATTTACCGGCCTGAATGTCCGAGAAATTTTCACAGAAAATATTCGTCCTCCAACGGGAATCGAACCTGTAGCCTATATGGAACCGTCATATAGCTTGACGTGCCTTTAACCGATTTGGCCACAGGGGAGCGTTCGGTTGGCGAGTTCGAATTTATTCCCTTTAAATGAATCTTCCATGAATCTCTCTCGTTCATTCATATCTGCTCGATGCGTATCCAAATGTAAACAAATGACGTCACAAATTATGAAATGGACAAAGTCCGACAATTATTTTAAAACATTTTTATTTTTATTAAATTTATTATTTATATATATATATATATATAATTTCCAGCGGTTAAATTGTCGTCTAAATTTAGCAAAAATGAAAATAACACTGACATCTTATTTTATATATAACACAAAAATATCTTGAAATACTAAAGAATCAATTTATTCAATATAATCGCCATTGGCTTCCACCATGGCCTCCAGACGACTTCGGAATCTCCTGCAACTCTTTTGGACACTGTCTTCGTTTAAGTTGATGAATGCTACCATACTCCTTACCTTCAGTTTATCATTGATATTACAAGGTGTTTTGTTGACCTCTCGCTCAACTCCGCCCCACACATCATAATCAAGGAGGGTGCAGTCTGGCGTGTTAAGTCACCAGATGCAAAGTTTGATGTGGTCGCAGAAATTGTCTGACAACCATGCCTGGGTTCCCCTGCTGCTGTGTCCTGTTGCCAGATATGGGATCTTCCAGCAGCCACCCTCTTGACCCAGTGCTGCACTATCTCTCTCAAAGCACTTGATGTCGGCCTCTGTGTTGAGTCTAAGACCCTGTGGGAAGATGAACGGAAGCATAAAGTCACCATCACTAGTGATCATGCCAAAGACCTTATCATCATTAGACTGTTTTCAAATCCTGTTCACTGTCCTCAGATTGACTCCCAAATTCTCTGAAATATTTGTATAGGAGCTACTGGTGCAAATGACAAGCACTACAGCATTCTGTTTCCAAATTCCTGGCGG